GGTAAAGACGAAGAATGTTGTCTCTCAAGTGGAGCAGCTCCTCCGTTTCTGAAATGCTCTTCAAGAAATGCAAATTGCTTCTTGAACTTGTCGACAGCACTGTAAAAGAAGGATATGATTATTGCAAAACCACAAATGATTACAAAAAAAATAAAAAATAAAAAAATGAAGATTTTCCACTATAGAACTTGAATGCATGTCAATAAAAAAAAGAAAAAGAAAAAAGAAAAAGCAACTGCAATAAATCATTCAAGCGTGATGAAGATTTTTACGATACAAACCTGACTTTCTAGATGAGTGTAATAATTGGGGCAAGCAAGAGGCTTTAAGCAATATATTGTTATTAATAAAATTTCAAAATACATATGTTGCTAATTCGATAAGCAAGTCTATACCTCGGATACATAAAACTTGTGGGTTCAGCTCCCTCTAAATGCTCTTTCAACATCTTCGGGTGATATTCAAGAATCTCTCGATAAATCAACTCTCTAACATCCTCTTTTGTGATCCTTCTCCTTTCAAACTCAAATTCCATCTTAGTCACCGGTTGTGCGGAAGGTTCTCTCTCAACCCTAGCCAAGTTCCGGAAGTATGGATCTGCAAGAGCCTGATAGCTCGAAAGAATAAGATTTTTCATTAACTATTAATCCGGGTGCTTTGATTTATAAAAAAAAATAAAAAATAGAATAGATAAAAAAGTCATTTAACCTCTTCAGCAGTAGGTCTGTCCTTCGGGTCAAAAGCGAGCATTCTTTCTAACAAGCGAAGGGCCAAAGGGTCAGCATTTGGGAATTTGAGGGACAAAGGAATTGCTTTCTTCCTCCTCATGCTGCTTAAGTATCTTCTTGCCTTTTCGTTTCTTATCTATCACACGACATCGTGTAATAAATAAATAAATAAATAAGGTATTCTTCAACGAGACAATTTAAATAAAAAAAAAAAGGAAACATGAATATACCCTTGCAATGGTTTCAGGAGGTGGAGTGCCCAACAGATCAGTCATCAGATCTAACTGATGAACCACATTTTTCCCAGGAAATAAAGGTTTTCCCGTCAAAAGTTCGGCAAATATGCAGCCAATACTCCATATGTCAATGGCAGGTGTATACTAAAAAAACGAAAAATAAATGGTAAAGTTATTAACATTTTTAATCATGAAGGATGATGATTCTTGCAATTCACAAACTAAATCATGATGGCCACCTTAGAGAAAAATGAACCACACAACTCGGGAGCTCTGTACCACCTTGTTGCAACATAATCCTTAATAAAGGCAAAAACAGATTATTCATTAGTCTAGGTTCATATGAAGCTTGATATACATATTAGATACATATTTAATAACCATAAAAAAAACATGAGAAGAAACAAAATGCATACTGTCCAAAATATTGCAGTAGGAGTATCATTGAAGGCCACTCTTGCAAGCCCGAAATCACAAACTTTAAGCTTGCAGTCGGCATTTGCCAGGATATTTTTCGGTTTCAGATCTCGATGAAATACGTTAGCTGTGTTAAGGAACAAGATATGTTAGAAAAACACATACTACAAACCTTCACCTTCTTAACTTTCTACAACACAATGTAAGAAAATATGCATTCTAGTCAAAGAGAGTGAAAAGTTAGTCAATGCATGGAGTGATTGCTACCCAAAAAAAAAGTTGTAAAGAATTAGAAGTTTGAAGTGTTTCGAAGAAAAATAGTAAAGAACTAAAACAGTCAAAGTTGAACTGTTTGAAGGGATAAATGGAGAGTTTCAAGAAAAGTTTTTTGGAAATAGTTAAATATCAAAAGCACTCTTACCAGATCAAAGCACCTCAATCACTACTTTTACACTTCAATTAAATGAAGCAATTTGCAATTACCAAAAGTCAACAATTTGAGCATCCACAAACACTCATTAGCTGTCACCTACAAATACTATCCAGAGATGATAGTGATTGCACAAACCTGTATGTATGTATTTCATGCCTCTCAGAAGCTGATAAAGAAAGAACTGATAGTGCTCTGGCGTCAAGTCATCATTTGCCTTGATAACCTGATGAAGATCAGATTCCATTAGTTCAAAAACGACGTATATGTCTTTGAACTCTCTTCTAGAAGGTGGCAGCAAGATATGCTTGATCTCGACAATGTCCGGGTGGCGGAGGAGCCTGAGAAGCTTAATCTCGCGCAAAATCCGCGTGGCATCCGAAACGTGCTCGAAAATATCGTTTATTTTCTTGATCGCGACTTTTTCACCAAGATGAGTGTCATATGCCGAGCACACAACACCGTAGCTGCCTTTGCCAATTACCTCCTCAATTCTATAACGGCTACCTTCACCGTATTCCGTGAAGAATTCAACATCTGATGCCTGCAATTGAAGTCATGCAAAATTTAACTCATGTGTGAACAGAAAAGATTTTAAAAGTAAATTTATAAATATATATAAATATATACAAACATAAATTATTGTTGTCGTTGCCGCCTATTACTATTATCATGTTTACTACCTAACATCTTTAAGACATTATGATCTCAATGTGCCAACCAGCTTAAAACACAGCACATTGTTTAACAGGTAATCAATTGGCTTCTAAATGATTGGCTTCTCAAAATAAGAAAGAGACAGCAATGCTCCATTCAACCTTCGTTCAACATTATAACTGAAATATACAATTACAATATATTCTGATCTCAAAGAAATGCAAAAAGATAAATGTCTGATCCTACTAGTACAATGTAAACAATGCTTTTTAGTGACAAAGGAATCTTTCATGGAACAGCTACAGGAAATAAGCCACGATAATACGCTGCAAATGACAGAAAAGCAGATCAACCAAACTTATACGGTCCAAACTTCAAAACCTGTTAAGTATTTTCTTAGGACAAGTTGAGGCAGGAAAATTAACGACAAACGTGAAATGAATCGTTTCACCACCGCCAGATTGCTAATAACACAGGCCCATGT